CCGTCCAATCAATAAACCAATCCACGGCCATCGTCTGTTGTGTGGGACGTAGACTTTGCAAAACAGAGTCGTGCAGGGTTGTTTCCTGCGCTCAGGATTTCTCGTATTTTCGCTCAATCCCCTCCCGCCTCCATCGTAACCATTCTATCGCGCGCGGGCTAGCGAGCATGCAAGTTTGTCGGCCGTTGGTGCAATTCGAGGCGACAGCGCCCGGGAGGGAGGGATCGATGAAAGGGGTGTTTCATCGATTAGCATCGGAGCATCGCCAGCAGCAGCAGCGAGCATCGACTGCTGTCCAGACTAGTCTAGTCTATAGGTCTACGCTGTGCGTGTGAGCACCGATTGTGTCCTCTTCGTCGGCGTAGGGGCAGTGCCCATTAAGACTACGGGAAACGGGGAGGGCTGCAGCAGAGAGGAGCAGCGACTCGCTCCTGCCTCCGTCAACGTCAACCTCGCCACACGTCAACCCCAGCCAGCGAGCCAGCGGAGCCAGCGAGCACCAGCTCGCTCGCGCAGAGCCAGACTCGAGCCGCTCGAGCCAGAGAGCAACGAGCAACAGCGTACATCAATAGGTTCTCCAGGACCGGGTTCCAAAACAGAACCATCTTTATGTACCGAGAATATTCCTATAAGTTTACTATCTCGACAAAGTCGTGAGGTCCACTCCGTCAACCCCAGCCAGCGAGCCAGCGGAGGAGCCAGCGAGCACCAGCTCGCTCGCGCAGAGTCAGACTCGAGCCGCTCGAGCCAGAGAGCAACGAGCAACNTGTGAAGGCTAGTTCCGGAGGCGTTTTGAGGGCAGGCCGGTCCCCTCCTGCCCTCGAGGGCAGATTTCCGGGCGCCGCGTTTTTTTACGCGGGGGCACCGTGGTTTAACGAGGCATTTGGTAGGTACAATACATGCCCCGGCCCATTTCGTGCACTTGCTTGCTCGCAGCATTCACATACATCGCCGGACGGATGGGGTTGTTTGATGCGGCGACCGTAGAATGGTGGGTACCGGCGAGTTACCTATTGCTGGCTGGAATCGCGGATGTTGCATGGAAGTCTCGGGAAGGAGTCCATGAAGCGGCTACCAAATCCAATGACGACACAGACTCGACAAACACCAGCTTGTTGGCCCCGCTCATACATGAAGGTGAGAGATACGCCCCAAATGATCGCCGATCTCCTTGGCAACGAGTACCTTCTTGCATTGTTTGCCTTCGTGCATCGTACGCGTTGCGTAACCTCGCGCCATATCTTCAGTGGTGATGCTGTCAGGGGAGAAAAGTGCCTATGCAATAAATTCGGCATCGTTGAGGGAGGATGCTGTTGCTCACAACATCGCACCTTGTTTTTGGCTACATTGGCGTGTGGCGTGCTGGGCCCCCCCCGCCCGTTTGGCCCGTTTCCCCCGCTGGCAGGCGCAGAGAACAGTGACCGTCCTCCCAAGTATAATGTCACAGCGACTGGAGTGTTGTGGTCAACCCTAAGCATATCCTGGGGGCTGTGCATCTATCAGGTATTGCATCGCCGTGTCGCACTATCATGAGCCAGTTTAGGTTGGGCACCATGCGGAGCCGTTTCACGCAGCATCTGCAAACTGGCTGGTTGTGGTGCATCCGTTGTAGCATAGCGTTCCTTGGCTCTCGAGGGACTATAGCAGTTGCTATCGAGGATGTCGCTTGACGTTGTCGTTTTGATTGCTCACGGCCGGAACGTCGCACGTACGTTGATACGTGGATTATCCACCAGAGGACCCTCGCCTTGGTCAACTTAAACGGATTTTCGAATGTCACGTTTTGGCGGTAATTTCATCTTGGTCGTTCCTGCTGTGGGCACTTTCCAGGGACCTTACCCCAACCCAACGCTTGCGAGCGGGAGAAACGTGTGTCCTTTGAAGAGTTGGATGTGTTGAAAGAGTGCCGGGTTGCGAGAGATGACTTGGAGTGTTCATCTTGGCGTTGTATCCTCGCGCGTCTTGGAACCCGCATGGTTCTGTTGGCTCCCTGTTGCTAACTACCTTCGTCGATGTTACTGAAGCAGACCGCAGGACCATACCACATGCGGCCTGGAATACGCACCCTCTGAACGCAGGAACATGTGCATGCATACATGTAGTCTTCTGGCGGAACACCCCTGAGTTCGTGACACCCACGGACAGAGATCTGCCATTTGTGCGGGACAAACGAGAGAAACGACCCGTACCGCAGGAATATCTCAGAGAGACAGCAGTGTAGTGTAAGGGGGCCGGCCTACGTTAGACGTGAGTGAGGGACAGAACCAAGCGACATCGACACCAATCACACGGGTGTTGAGCGCCTGGCAACAGCCGGCCGGCTGCAGAGGTAGAGCGAGACAGGGCGGACCAAGCCGACGAGGCTGCATGTTTGTTTCTGCAGGCTGTGGTGTTACGCTATTCTGTGTCAGGCGGGAAGTTGATGTTAATCCGCCTTATGCGCGGGCGCCTTGCCGGGGGGCAATTGCAACTCGTTTGGCTCGGTTAGTTTTTTTTCTTCGTCAACGAGGTCTCACACAAGTGTATTCGTACTTCCAGGCAAAGTAGTACGTTTCGTGCGGAATGAGCAGACGACGAGAAAGCAAGAATTGAACAGTCTTCTCTCGTGGCGTGTAATGGACGATCGTTTACCATTGTGAGGCCTTGGGCGCACACTTTTACTGTTTAAAGGTGGCCTAAGTGAGCACAAGGCCTCAGTTTGCATATGGAGTATGTAGTTTTTTTTTTAATTGCGCACCGTGCCAGGACATCTCGTTCTCGACAAGTGAGGACGCCCTTGCACGGTGGTCGTACTGTCCTGTTGTTTCCGTTGACGTGGTGCACTTCCCTTTTCGCCTCTCGATATTTGCTCCTGCTCCTGTTCCTGTCCAGAACATACTGCTGCACTGCTGTGTCATGCCTACGTCGCCCCTACAGCATAAATAAAAAATCTGTGTCGTCTATCAGTAAGAGTTGTAAATAAACGATGGATCGTTTCTGACAATGTTTAAGTTTTCCCGGTCGCCCCTTGCCCTTGCACACCGCAGGGAGTCAGAGCCATCGTGGAGTTGGTACGGCACGGCGCCGACACCACCGTGTTCGTCTCGTCGACGGTGCTGTGCATCGCTTGGGCCGCCGCCTCGGTCCTCCGCAGCAGGGACCACTGGCGGGAGGCGGCCAAGGAGCCTTCGATCGGAAGCGACGGGCTCCCGGCCCGCAGGAAGCTTTGGTGGGTGTTCTGGCCGTTCTACAACCTGTCGTTTATGACCGCGCTGGTCGCGGTTATCGACCGGGCCGGGCACGGCGGGAAGAGCTGGTCCGGAGTTGTCAGCGTCGTGGCGGACGACAGGCTGTGGAACGTGGTCGCCCTTGCACTCGCCCTGTCCTTCGTGTCGCACTCGGTGGCGAGGGGGGCCGAGGTTACGCTGTGCACCCGGAAGCCGAACGGCGAATTCACGGCGAGGTTTCTGTCGGCCGGGCTTTTCTCGTGGTTCTCTCCGGTTATCGACATTGGGCAGAAGAAGCAGCTCGATTTCGATGACCTGCCCATGCCGGTACGGAACGGGTACACACCCAAGGCTGTGTTAGATATGTAGCTAGTTGTTTTTGCAGCCAATCAGAATTCTGCGTGCCATTCACTCATCCCATGAACATTTTCGCCGCCAGTACTTTTTCTTCCACGTACTGTAGAGCATAAGAGCAGTCGCTGGACCATCGATGATCCTTGCCCCCAAGAGAGCGTTCGTTCGAGAGGACCCGCACAGGCCGCTTTTTTTACTGTCGTGTACGACGGCCACAAGTTTTTAACTCGCACCCCGTACTCCCAAGAGAGCGTTCGTTCGAGAAGACCCGCACAGGCCGCTTTTTTTATTGTCGTGTACGACGGCCACAAGTTTTTAACTCGCACCCCGTACTAGCTCCAAAACTCACGCTCGCCATGTTTATGTGCCTCGTTTCTCAGATCGATGACGACCTCTCCAGTACCGTGTGGAAAAAGATGGACGAGGCGGATCCTCGAAGCCCTCTCCCGTCCCTCTCTCTTCGCTGCGGCAACAAGGAGGAGAGCAAGCGGCGCGGCGAGACTAGTGCGAGGGTGCAGGAGGGGGCGCAAAGTGAAGACGGCGGTGCCGCGGCCGTGAAGGAGTACGGGCTATTGTGGCGCATGTGGAGGGTGACGAAACCAATGGTACGTCGCGGGTGGGAGTTGTCCGTGTCACCTGAGGTCCTCTCCCACACAGCACTCATCCCATGCTGGACTGACCTGTGAGAGAGGTGAGTTTCTCCGAACGCCATGGCGATGACAATTTTATCCCTCGCCCCCCCTCCGTCTCGCCGCTCGTGTTCTCTGCTGTAGGTGATTTCTCAGGGGCTGTGGCAGCTCGTTGCGACGCTGACGGAGTTCCTGCCGTCCATCGCGATGCAGCAGATCATCGACTTCGTGACCTCGTACAACAAGGAAGGGGGGCCGGTCACGGGAAGGATCACGTTTTTCGTGGTGCTGCTGTTCGTAGGCCCCATCCTGCAGGGCCTGGCGGACGGCAGGAACTTCCACATCGGAAGGCGGATCGGCTGCAGGGTGCGCGGGTCGCTCGTGGGATCCATCTTCCGGAAAATGCTAGTCATGGACACGGCTTCTTCGACCTACAGCTCGGGGCAGCTGACCAACCTCATGTCCGTGGACGCTCAGAGCGTGCTGGAGTACAGCTGCTACACGCACTTCATCTGGGCGACCAGTCTTCAGGTGCGTCGTCCGCACGAGCATAGTCTCTTCTTCGTCGTCGTAGCCCACTTCCGCATCAGGGTTTCCCTCCCTCACCTTTGGCCCTTTTTCTCCTGCGGCTGCAGCTGTCGCTCCGGCACGGCAGCAGCAACTTTGCACTGGTGCTCTCCGTGAACCTTCTGCCGTGCACGCTCCCCATTCCCCCAATCATCAATACCTAGACCGCCTCTCGTTGCCTGCGAAACAACAAAATCCACGATATCAGATTATCGTGTCCGTTGGGCTTCTGTTCTACGTGTTGGGACCGGCCGCCTTTGGCGGTGTCTTGTTCATGGTCCTGAGCGTGCCGCTCGGCAAGTACACCACGAAGAAGACGCAGACCTTCCAGAAAGTTCTCATGACGCGGAAGGATGACCGCATGTCTGTCGTTGGAGAAACGATGCAGGTGAGGAGAGGGGGGGGTTTCCTCTTGTGCTTTCGAAACGCGACAAGCACCCCATGCGTGTTGCACCTGTGTTTTGGCGTCAACTACGGTGGTGGCGTCTTGCGAGATGCAAGTTCGTTGGGGGCGGTTGGCCCTCTCGTACATTGTCTAAGCCCTTGGGTCCTGTTTGCCCGGATTATGGAGTCGGGCCATTGACTAGCGAGTCTGGTTTGTTGAAGTTTGTGAAATGAGGGAATCATCCTCACAGACAGACGTTTGGGGAAATGTAGCGCGTCTCCACAGACTGCTGTCGTGTTTGAGCATGTTCTGACGGTCACGTCCCTGGGCCTCTTTCTGTCGTGAATGGTGCCTCCAGGGCATTCGCATCATCAAGTTGTTTGCGTGGGAGAGAGATTTCATGTCGAAGATCGACAAGACCCGCCGCAACGAGATGCGGTCGCTTCGCAGCTACATGGTGAGCAATAAATTGCCCGTGTTGTTTTCGGTGTGTTCATACCCCGCTGAAGCGTGTCTCCGTTGGTTATGTGTAGCAATCCTCGCTTCGAGACACCGTGTCGGTGTCGAAAATGGGGATAAAGTTGTCAGTTCTGATGCACGGGCGCACGCTGGTGGGGAACGAAGATTGTGTGTTGGACCGATTCGTCTTGTCCACCCCGCTCCTCTCGACATCTGTTTTTATCCCAGGTGATGATGGCCGGTGTTATCGTGCAGTGGAATTCAGTGACGACCCTGGTGGGCCTGTGCACCTTCTTGTTCCACACGAGGCTGTTGGGGCGAACTCTCACCGCGTCCCAGGGATTCACGTCTTTGAGCCTCTTCGGTATCCTCCGGTTCCCACTTCTTGTGCTCCCCGACGTGGTCAACTTCTACCTTCAAGTGAGTAGCCGTTCGGACAACTGCTGTGCGAGGGTTGGCACGTATGTGCGGGACAAGCGAGTTGTCCTTAAACCGTCCGTCCGAGATGCTGCCCCTCCGAGGATACGTTCACGGCGACGAAAGTGTTCAGGCCACCTGCTCACTGGTCAGGGCAACGCCGTCTCTCTTGGGTGGTTATGCTGGGGCACAGAAAGTGGACCAAAGAGGCGGGAAGCGATACCGATAGGGTAGGTAGATAGGGCAGGGAAAGCATTTTTGAGCCATATTTGGCAAAGTCGATTGACCATCTGTGATCAGTCCTGCGGGAGCAAGGCTCCGTCCTCTCGAGGACGCTTGGTCGATGGTTTTTGACAACTATACTATGGCAAACACAATAATAATATAGTACCCCTCCGCCCCCCACGTTGTCTGTTGGAACCGAAGGCCCGCGTGTCCCTGGGCCGAATCGAGACGTTCCTGGGACGGAGGGACATCGAGGGCCAGCCGGTGGACACCGAGTTGACGCGTAGCGTTCACCTTGCCGGCGCGCCGAGGGCGCCGATCGGCGGCCTCCTTGTCCAAAACGGAACTTTCGCTTGGCCCCCATCGGTGAGTGCGTCGTGCCGATCGGCTGTATGTTGTGCGTCTACCTATCGCTGGTGTTGTCGATTACTCCGGAGCATCTGTTTTATTAGGTCGTTTTGAGGGGAAGCCGGTGTGTGTGATGCGCTGCCGTCTATTTTAGACACACGCTTGGTTGCTGGGCTTCTATTATAGGAATAGACACCAACGTTATCACTCGTCGATTGCCTTCTTTTTTGATTGTCGCTCTGACTTGAAGACTGCTTTCGGCTCTCTTGTCTCTCTCTCTCTCTCTCTCTCTCTCTCTCGCTCTCTCTCTGTTCCCCCTCCTATTGGTGCACGTGCGCACCCCCCCGGCGCGCGGTCGCAGGAAAGGGAGAAAGTCTCCAACGACGGAGAAGAAGACGGGCGCGAAGCGCAGGAGCTCCGCAGGAGCTCCGCAGGAGACGACGACGGCAGCAGGTCCGCCGCCAACACCCCCACGACGTCGCCCACCTCGTCCCTCTGGTCACCCCAAGAGGAGGAGTCCATGACCCTGAGCGATGTGACCCTCGAGGTCAAGCCTGGGGAGCTGGTGTGCGTCTACGGGCCCACCGGGTGCGGCAAGTCGAGCCTGTTGTTGTCGCTCTTGGGCGAGGTTCGCCGCGTTGAGGGCACCGTGGAGGTGAGAGAGAAGCGACGGTACGGTAGGGGGTTCGCTGGCCAGATGTTTTCGTCGCTCTGCGCTACGCATCCCAAGCATGTTGAGTAACAGGCTCGAGATGGTCCTGATTTTCGGTGTTTTTTTGCCACCAGCCTGGGTGGCACCCCCCTGTGCGAGCTTGTAACCACGTTTCCGCCCAACGCTTCGCAGTTCCGCCGCCTCTAGCCACACCTGTACTGACCATACCCGTACTTTTTCGCACCACTTTTTCTTGTCCTACTCGGATCGGCGCTTTGACTGAAGATAAATGGGACGGTGGCCTACGCCGCACAGCGCGCCTGGATACAGAACGCCACCCTTCGTGACAACGTGCTCTTCGGCTCCCCCTACGACCCCGAGCGCTACGCCCGTGTTCTCTCCGCCTGCGCGCTGACTGCCGACCTCGACCTTCTCGAGGCTGGCGATCAAACCGAAATCGGGGAGAAGGGGTGAGAGCCTTGTTTTTCCCGCCTACACTGTATGTAGATACCTCCTCCAACGTGTGGTTTCGCGAAAAAAATGTACCGGTACCTTTTTTGTTTGCTTTCATTGAAGGCTTTCTGTCAGTCAATAGCAAACCCTGTTTCAAGCACGACGCGGATGGAGAAAGAATAAGAACACGAGCCTGGTCTTACCCTCTACTGTTACTACTCAGAGGAACCGGCAGCCGGAAACACTGCCCGACCTCGGCATCCTCTTGCATGTTTTAAGTTTGTGTTGTGTGTTCTTTGTGTGCGTTCTCTTGTTCGCTGATAAATTCACCGTAGACATGTGGCATGGTTTTTTTACCGTCAACACTTTTCGCTTACCCAATGCGCACTTCCGTTCACCGTCGCCCCCTCCCCCCCCCCCCCCC